CAAACCAGTGCCAAGCCCCAGTGACCTTTCAGACTCATCACTGTGCTTAGAAGATTTACAGTGGAAAAAAGCTACTTCTTGCAAAGGAACTCTTGCTCCTTCCTCCCAGGAGAGTCTCCAGCCAGTGACTCATCCCTGTAGCATCCCGGCTTCCCGTCACCATCCCACAGTGGCTACGGCTCAGGCTCGGGGGGAATCCGTGCCTGCTTGCCTGGGAGCTGGGGTGATGTCAGCTCCTGCTCTGGCTCCTCTCAGCTCTCCAGACTGCTCAAAGTTCAAAGCTTTAGTCTCATCACCCAGCAGGCTAGGCCTGGCTCAAGCACCGACTTGCTTCTCCTGAAGTGATGACATTTTAAAAGGGCTTTGGAATGACAGAGGTCCCGGAGTCCCAGAGGAAATGGAGGTGAGGCTCACGGAGTGTCAGGGCCTGGGTTTGCAGAAGATCTGCCTAAGTCGCTGTGTGCCTGTTTCAGGCAGAGCTGCAAACCACAAGTAGCATTTGGAGTGGAGCTGCCGTGAAGATTTTCATTTCAATTTGCAAAATATTCTCCACCCTGCAGGGTAACCCTTGGAGAAGGAATTCTGTGATTCTGGGATAGAGGGAAAAGTAAGTACACTGAAGCTGAGAAGGAGACAACTGCTGCTCAAGTAAAAAAGGAGCTGAAAAATGAACTGAGATACGGGTCCAAGCCCTGAAGTGCATTTGGGACAGATTTCAAACACCTCAAGAATCCATGAGTGGATCAAGAGACTCTACAGAGCCTTGTGCTGAGGAACATGAGAGCAGCACCAAGGCTCCGGCACAAGGTGGTTTGGATGTCAGTGGTTTTTGTCTGTGGGACTCTTTGTGTCCTCCTCTTTCCAAATTCTTGGCTGTTCCTCTGAGGCCAAACCACATGGATTTTTTCCTGTTGTAAGGTAGATGCATTGAAATTCCTCCAGCTGCCAAGGGCAAGGTGAGATCCCAACAAGTACATGTCAGGCTTTTTTGGAAAAGGGCTCCATCGATTCCAGAGCTCCCCAGGAAAAATGAGTTCCCTGTCAGTTCCCACAGCAGGCAAAAAAGACTCAAAGCAAAAGTCTTGATGTACATCTAACCCATTATGTTCACTGGGGTAAAAACTGTCCTATCTTTTGAGTAAGCCTAGCTCTGGGAAGAACAGGAAAGCCAAATCTGAAGTCAGGCTTAATGAAAACTTGCTGTGCTGATGGATTTCTCCTTGATCTTTCCCTCTGTCCCTCTCCCTTGAACTTCTCCAGCAATCTCTGCTGGGATGCTCACAAGGTCTAATCCTCCCTGGGATATTTCCAGGAGATCTGGGCTGTGAGGAGAAGACAATTCCCTGCTGTGGGTCAGTTCTTCGTCTCAGCCCTTGGAGGATGCCAACAGCAGCAGGAGGCTGGGACCATTTGTGGGATGAGGAAAATTGTTCATAATGGGCCTGAATTCATCCTCTTGCTCCTCTACAAGGCGAGCACACAGCACAGGCTGCCTAGAAGGGAGGAATGGAAAATAAACAAACATTGTGGAATACGTTTTTTCCCTGTGGGATGGGTGGCTGCCAGGCACAGCACCACTCTGCAGGACCAAGGACTGCTCTATGCCCTTTTTGTTGCCACAGTTTTCAAAGGGTTTCTTTTCATTTAGGATTTAAGTGAATGGATTCGCTCCCAGGAGCGGCTCCACAAGGAGCAATTCTCTGGGACGAGGATGTTGTGATTCCAGGCTGGGTTGGGAGTGGTGCAGCCCTGCTTATTTCTCTGCCTCCTGCCAGGCAGGAGCTCAGATTAGGATCACAGCCAGGCAAAAAGGGTTACAAGGGAAAAAAAAATGAGCCAGAATCTCCTTTGTTCCCCATATCAGGTTTGAAGCTCTGAGCAGTGAACAGGGAGAGCAGAGCACAGCTTTCCATAGCACCCAACAGATTTTGGGGGGATTTCAGGTGCTGATTTTACTTAGGGTGAACAGATTGTAGCATCTCTGCAGGTGGCTCCCACAGATTTCCAGCTGTCTCCACCAATGGGTCCCAAGAGGGACCTTGGGAATCAAGGGGGTGTTTGCAGGAGGTGTTGATTATCTTTGGTTACTCCATCCCAGCAGAACTTTTGGCATGGAAAGCTGTACCACCAGAGCACATGGGAACAGAGCTGGGCTTTTCTTTCCCACCAAATCCTTCCTTGATTTTAAAGTGCCTGCTCAGCCCTCAGGAATGCCAGCGCTGGAGGATTGTTATCTGGGATGAGCTGTTAACGAGGCCATCACGTTGATTAAACCTCAGCCTGGAACATTATCTCAGAGAGGTCCCTCTCTCTCTCTGCACTGACACTTCTGCCTGTATAGCAAGACCAGAGAAAGTCCTTAAGACTCATTGTTTGGGATTAAATAAACAGAGGTGGAGCGGGGCTGGTGGTTGATGTGTCCCAGAGATTGCACAACGCTTCTGATTAAAACCAGGAGTGGATGCATGATGAGCATCCATTAGGAATAGTAAATAATTAGGTGTGAAATGCCTAGGAATGGGTCAAGGGATGCAGAGGGAGTGGGGGAATGAATGGAGGAGTGGAGGAGGAATCCTGTTCAGCACAAGTTAAATCTTCAGGCTGTGCTTTGCCAGAGGAAGGTGGCAGCGCTGGCACAAAGCAAACAGGTGACCTGGGACATGGTTTGATTTCCTTTTTCTCCTCCAGCTTTTTCCCCAGAGGTCCCGATCTGCCAGTTCAGCTCTGAGTAGAAGTGACACATCTGGCAGTTTTACCCAGGAACTCCAGCCCAAATCTCTCTGCTTTGCTAACAATTCCGTGTTTTGTCATGTTCTGGGCCATCCCTGAACCTTGGAGAAGTTGGAAATGCCAGGAAAGCTGCCTCTCTGTGCCGGGGGGGGGGGGGATCTGGCAGCAACTCAGGTAGTCAGGAGCTGCAGCTTGTGATGGTCCCCATCCCCACCACTCCCAACTGTTGGGCCTGTTGTGGAGTCTCCCTCACTGGAGATATCCCAGAACTGCCTGGATGTGCTCTAGGATGAACCTACTAGAGCAGAGAGGTGGGACCAAGATGACCCACTGTGGTCCCTTCCAGCCTGACCCATTTTGTGGGATCCTTGCTGGCAGTCAGAACCTCTGTGGTAAGGTGTTTTCTGGGAAAGGGTGGAGGCAGATTTTTCAGGGATTGTTTTTTCATGGCTTTTGGCTGCTTTCAGGAGGCCATGGTGAGGCAGAGTGAGGGTATGATCTGTCTTGGCATCTCTGCAGATGCCCATTACAGCTGCCTGGGAATTGTCCCTACAATTCCTTCTGCTCCAAATGTGATAAGAGGTTTTCAGGCTGCTGCTTCTTAAATCAGCTGGAGCAGATGTCTTCAGCATCCAGGAAGATGCTGCTGCCTCATGTGGCTTCTTCCATGGCTTCTGTCAGCTGCAATTGGAAGAGGAAATACAAGTGGAAGAGGTTCAGGTGCTGGCAGCGTGTCCTCGGCTTGCAGATGTGCAGCTGACTTCCACAGCTAACTCCTCCATCCTCCTAAAAATCACCATTACCCCTAAATAAAACCCCAAAATTCCTCCTCACTGGAAATGTTCCCAATTTCCAAACTATTTTTTTTGCCTGCGCTCATCAGCTGACAACTGCAGGAATCAAAGAGGGTTTACATTTTGCTGTTGTTTTTCAGTTTTAGGTTGATTTCTTTCCTAAAACCTATAAATTCCCTAAAGCTGGTGCATTAGGAATTGCTCAGTGAGGTAATTGCTTTGTGCAGCTCCTTGCAGGGACTCTTTTTTTCTTTTTAAGTGGAAAGAGGAGTGTGTTGATTTGGTCAAGTGCCAACCAGGAAATACCAAAAAGCTGAAGATGGATCCGTTACAAACAGACTAACCAGCCTCAGATGTCCCGTCGATATTGGAATATGAAAGGTAATAGAGAGCACATGTGTCCTGTAAATAATGAGATTATTAACAAATAGACAGAAATAAAGCCACTTGGCTGCCTCAGTGAAACACTGAAGCCACTGGTGTCAGATGAAAACTCTTAATTGCCCCCATTTGCCCCATAATGGGTGTTTTTCCTGCATCCAGTCAAGCTCTGTGGTTCTGTGTTGGGATTTGCATCTCTTGTGTGTCACATCCTACACTTTCTTCCTGAGGAGAGGCTGGTACAAAACAGGGATGTTGATCCTCTGGGGCACAAGGGGTTGGCAGGAGGAGAGGGAAAACATGAGGTGGGAGAGGCAAGTGCCCATCCAAGGAGGCTGAGCAGAGGCATGAGCTGCACTTGCCTCTTCTCACCTACTTGACCCCTGTCCTGCTGCTGCCACTTCATTGCTTGAGCCCAAAAGCCTTGGGAAGATGGAATTGAGTTGGAAAGATGCTCTGGAAAACTCATAGCCCTCAAAGCAGGGAGCTCTGAGCTGAGTTTGCAATCCCTCCCTTGGCATCCCTGTAAGTGTGATCCTGTTTAAGGAGGAGGCTTTTGGGAGCTTGGGTGGGTTGTAAAGCAATCAGGTCATCTGTCTCCATACCATAGGATGGAGCAAGGAGTCCCACTGTGGGCATCCAGCCTTGGAAATACTGACCCAGTTTTTAATTCTTGGGTCTGGGCTCCCTTTCCTGGGGCTGGGACCAGCAGACATCAATGCTGTACATGTGTGTGTTACATCTCCCTTTTAGAGGGAGGAGGAGGAGGAACTGTGTCCAAACAAAGGTGCATCATAGCCATGAGGATGGGGAGAGGTCTTTTACCACGTTCCATGAGACAGAGGCAACGTGAGCAGTGGCATTGGATTGGAGACGTCAGGGATGAGAGAGGTCAGTTGGACTTCGTGTCCCCTATCCCATAACTTAGGGTGGAATTAACTGGGGTCTAGAGGGGAGTCCTACAGCCTTCTGCACTTTGGGGAGGTCCACCCTCGAGTCAGTCAGGATTGGAGCATTATCTCTGGATGCTTGGAGCATCCATCTGTCTTCCAGCATGGGCTGGGAGCACTTCATCCCCTGAGCCTAGGAGGGACCAATGGGCTGTGCAGTCTAAGCCTTCAGACCTTTCATCGTGGTGCTTCAGCATCACTGTTTGACCTGGAGCATTTGGGCGGGGAAGTCTGAAGCCATTTTTAGCTGCCTGGCTGCAAATGGGAGGGAGGGAAAGAGAGAAATGCCATGGGGTTGGTATTACAGCCCCAACACAATAGGAACTTTTATTAGCAATTTTCCATTGTGTTGCAAATGGCAAAGATCATGGTTATATTTGCATGTTTCAGACTAGTCCTGGAGAATTAGTTTTCCTCTGCATTGGGAAATAGTTTTCACATTGCATTAGTTTCAGCACTGGGGGTAGATACAAAAGCTCCAGCTGAAGTGCAATGATTCTTTTGCCATCGGAGACCTTTGTTCTTACCTGGTACTTCAACCTCAGAAAAACCAGGTTTAAGAAACTTGATCTCTTTGTGGGATAGAGAAAGAGGAGGTGGCAGGTGGGCAGTACTTTTGCTCTGAGGGGCTTCATTGCACTTCTCAGGCCAATAAAAACGTGTTCATTCCTGGCTAGAATAATAATCAGGACATTTCTTTGCTCTGGGATAAGTCAGATTTGAGCAGATTTATGCTTGGCTCTGTGGAGGACATGCAGCTATTGACAGCCTGAAAGCAATTAGCCCAAGAAAACAAACCAGAAACAACTGGGAATCATTGCAGCTTTCAGTCTGCAGTGCTGCTTCCAGGACTGTCGGATCAGGACACTCTTTGACTCCAGGCCATGGCCCTGTTGGATTTTTTTCCCCCTCTGTGAGATTTCGCACAGTGCTGTGCGTGGGGGAGTTCTGCTCTGCGGTCTGGATGGAGCTCCATGGGCGTCTTCCCCATCGTGCGACCTGGAGAACAGTCACCAAACTACTGGCTGAGGGGAGGGTGGAGGCTCAAAGAATTCTGCCTCTCCTTGTCTTCACAGGACGTGAGGTTCAGCTGCTTTTCCCAGGGAACAAGTGACAGTATGAGAGGAAACAACTTCAAGTTGCGCCAGGGGAGGTTCAGGTTGGAAATCAGAAGGAATTTCTTCATGGAAAGGGCTGTCAGGCATTGGAAAGGGCTGTCCAGGGAGGTGATGGAGTCCCCATCCCTGGAGGTGTCCAAGGAAAAACTGGACATGGCACTGAGTGCTCTGGGCTGGGTGACAAGGTGGGGATCGGTCACAGGTCGGACTCGATGGTCTTGGAGGGCTTTTCCAAGCCTTGGGGCTGTCTTCTCTTCTTCCCCCAGCAGACCTTCTGATTTTGGAGACTACTCTTGAGTCACTTCAGGGTTGTGCCAAAGATTGGAAATGAAACCCCATGTGCTGCATTCAGGGACTTCATCCCAAGGTTGAACTCTGCACCAGGACTTATGGAGGTTCTCAAGCTCTACAATGAGCTTCCTTGGGCTTGAAAACTGAAAGAAAGTAGGTCTAGATTAACTGTACAGAAGAAATTCTTCCCTGTGAGGGTGATGAGGCCCTGGCACAGGTTGCCCAGAGAAGCTGTGGCTACCCCATCCCTGGAAGTGCTCAAGGCCAGGTTGGATGGGGCTTGGAGCAACATGGTCAAGTGGAAGGTGTCTCTGCCCATGGCAGGGGGTGGGACTGGATGATCTTGAAGGTCCCTTTCAACCCAAACCAGTCTGTGATTCTATGATTCCATACAGACCAGGTGCCATATGAATAAGGTACCTCCCTGCACTCTGCTTTCCTAGTCCAAATTCCATCTCCAATGCATAAGCCCAAGGGAAAAGGCATATTCCCGACAGTGGGAAGGTCAGAATGACGTTAGGGCTGCAAAGCATCTGTTTGTCCATTCTGCTCACAGAAAAGACCTTCATGTTTTTTACCATCTGGACAGCAAATGTGCCCTCCTATGGGAACTCAGTTTTGACCTTTGCTCGTTTAGTTTAAGAACAAATCTAAGACAAACGTGTGAGATTTGCACCAGGGACCTTCTGTCAGCGCTGCAGAGAGGTCGGGGAGCTGCCTTGGCTGTCTTGGTCGTGTCGTGGATTTATGACACATGGATATAAATGCATCTATTTGAGTTTATTCTTTGCATTTGGCTGAAGCTCAGGAAGACAGAGCCTCTCTTTGAAACAGGGGTGTTCCCCATGTTATCACTTTAGATCTGTGATTGCTGGTGTTGATGTGAACAACGAGTCCCACCACAGGCCAAGACAATGTGCTCCTTCATGGCGGTGGCACCATCGTCATCGGGACCTACTGCGGGTCCTTTGGTTCATGGCACCCATTGCATGGATCATGACCATCAGTTAATCTGAGCTCCTGTGGACCATGAACACGTTGTTTCTCATTTCATCAGTCATTAGTACAGGCAGGGTGTGTTGTCTGGGGATATTTTGGCTGTTCAGCTGGTGACTCTCAGTCTTGTGTAGCTCAAGCGTGACGGAGCAAGCTTGGATGAGTCCCTCTCCATAGCCACTGGATTTGGCAAACTGGAGCATAGCTCAGCCTCCTGCCTGCAGGCCTTTCTTTTTTCCATTTAGAAGCCCCTGACATGCAGCACAAACCCAGCATAACCTGTAAACAGAGACTTGTAGCTGTTTTTTGATGAGGAAGGAAAGATTAACCTTCCATTTATCAGGTGACCTGGGAGCTTGCCACTGAAAGAGGGTGGGGCAGCAGAGTTGAGTGTCCTAACTCAAAATGAAGCGGTTTAATTGGTTAAACCTCTATTGAAGATGGGAGATGTTGCTGTCAGGGCTGGAGTACTCACCCCTTGTTCACCCAGTTTTGACAAGCTCCTGGCAGCCCCAACTCACCCAGTGCCTTCAGCTCAACAACATCCCCACAAGATCCTGCTACTCACTTTAGAATGTTGAAATGGATCTTTCCAAGATTAAATTGGAAAATAAACTCCCACAGCTCAGGCTTGAGTTGTTGAGATGATGGAGATTGATCAAATAGCACAATTAAATGTATTTATTATTTAATTATTTTACTTTGCACCCACGGGGCTGATGCTGAGCTGCCTCTTGCTGGATTTAAATAGTCCCTCTGCATAGACTCTAGCACAGGCAAGGCCTGGATCCAGTCTTCTCTTTGGGTCATGGATCTAGACCAGGCAGTTTCACTTTTTTGGGTTGGTACATGGTTTCATTTGCCTGTTTTCCTGCGCCGGCTGAAAAGCTGCCCAGCGTGGGCTCTTCCAGACAGGCCTGGGGGCATCTCCATTTGTGCCAAGAAAACTGAGTTTTAACAGTGGAACACAACAAAACAACTTCATCCTTCCATCCCGTGTCACTCCTAATAAATTAAAGAACATCTCTTTTTTTATTATTATTTGTAACACAACTTTGTTTTAAAACACAAAGCCTGGTCTGGATCCTACCCTCTCTAAAACTGTCCCTTTAAAATCAGATTTTGGCAGCAGGTCCTGTACCAAGCAGATGGGTTTAGTTAGGCCAGATTCAGTGGCAGGTCCCTGGGATGCTGAATCTCTGCCTGGTTCTCTCCCTTATTCCGTCATCAATAAACCCATTGAGAGAATCTTTAATAAATAAACAAAAAAAGAACATTTTTCTAGAGACAGTGGGATGGAAAATGACTCATAGGAAACCAGGGTCTAAAGTACACTCTAGTATTAGGTATTACGTGTGTCGAGTTTCTGTTGGGGGTCCAAGAATGCTGTGGTTTTTCTCTAAGGATTATGCCATTGTGGAATAATGTCATTGTGGAGGATTTGGTCAAGAGGAGCTGATGGAGTCTGGTGGTTACTTACAAATATATGTATTTCTGTATTTTTCAGCAGCTGGAAAATCTGTGACAAGCAGTTTTCGGGAGGCTATGGGCAATTATTGCCATCAGTGTTTCCAGCCTGGCAAAATTCCATGAAAACTGCTGGAGTCATGCTTTCCTCCTTTCCTTCGTTCATGTTGGACCTACTTTTTTTCCTTGAGAGTGGGTGCAAACAAACTGGGTAGGATCCTTTGCACTGCCTTAGACCTACCAAAGGACTGATCCAGTCCTAGAGGATCCAGTCCTGGAAGCAGCACTTGTGATATCAATGAGAATAAAGAGCAAAATCCTCAAGGGATGGAGGAAAAGGGAGAGAAATATCCTACACGGAAACCCCCAGGTCAAAATTGGGGCCCCCCAGCAGTGCCAGTGGGTGGTGGTCACCAAAGAGGCTTTGGGAGGAGAAACCTTAATCCTTTAACCTTTGCTCCTCCTCTGAGAACATCAGTGGATGCACTGGGGAAAGGGATGTTTCCAATGGCACTTGCACTTGTTCCAGTGAGTCATCTGCAGAGTTAAGGAGTTTTCTGAGGAGGAGTGATCACAGTTTCTCTTTCCTTATATCCTGTGATCCTTGTTTTCAACACAGTAATCCCTAAAACCACTGCTGTATCTGTTTTTGGTGGGAGGAGGCAGGACATCGTGCTCTCTTTCCATCATTTAAGTGAACTGATTATTAACAAAGAAGAAAAAAAGTTTGGTTTCCAGCCTCTCTGTGCAAAAAAGTCTCCACTGTGATGATCCCAACTCTAGGAATTATAAGTAGGTGATCCTGTAAGGTGGTTTCATCACTTCTACCTCCCTGGTTGATGCCACACAGGGGTCTAAGAGTGCAGAGTCAGCCCTGGGCAGCTCCTACTTGAGCATCGCTGAAGAGCAAAAAGGGAGTGATGAAGGATGAACTGGAAAGAAAAGACTCAATGGAATATTTATAGACCACCATAAACACAACTGTGGACAGGCTTTAGAAGCACTTGAAGCTGTTTGGATACAAAAGGCCTCATTTTCTAGTGTTTCATAGCCAAAAAAAAAAAAAAAAAGCACATTTATAAAGAGTTGTTTCTTGTTTTTCCCAGCTGTCACAGGCCTCTGGTTCATGTGTGCTGCCTTCTTTTTGGTTGGTTTTTTGCTTGTTTTTGCCAGGAAGGGATGGAGGGGATATGTGTTTGTGGAATAGCGCTCAGGGACCAAAAGGAAAGCAGGAGATGATTTTGTCCAGCAGCTTATTTTTGGGAAGGGCTGGTGAATGTTTGCTGAAAATTCCTCCTGAAGCATAAATGAGCCTGGAGCAGGGATATGTGTTAATTAGCATTATTTTTCTTGTCATTGCAGTCTCTGTTTACTGTTCCATACTTGAGACACCTGCATTAACACTGGGTTAATACAAAGCATAAATATAAACCCACAGAGTGTGTTTATAAACATTATCAATATATTATCACACAATCATGGAATAGTTTGGGCTGGGAAGGACCTTAAAGCTCACCTCATCCCACCCCCTGCCATGGGAAGGGACACCTTCCACTAGCCCAGGTTGCACAATTATTGTTATTAACACATAAACGTGTGTTGGTGGGAAAAGGAGTGAAAGGTCACTAGTTGGGCACATCTCTGTGACCTTCCAGTGCTGGGATGAGGTTCTGCATCTCCAAGATGGGGCAGCAGCCAGGTGTTTTTAGGAATTACATGGCCCAGGAGGCAGCATCAGCTGGGGAAAGCCCTTCTAGCCACATCACATCATGGTGATGGCATGTGCCATTCCCTTGGTGCAATTATTCTTCATAGGCTCGTTGACCTGAAACTAAACTCTTGGGAAAGCTGAGATTCCAGACAGCTCTTATCTGTCCAACTCTGAACAGGGAGCAATGAGGCTCCAGGGCAGGGGGCAGACATGTGGGGGAAGCCAATTTGCCATTCCCATGGGTATTTTTAGGGGATTAAGAAGGGAATGATTGCTCTCCAGGCCTGTTTCAAGGTTTAAGAATTACCTGGAGGGCCTGCTGGAATCCATTTTTGGATGACTGGAGATTTTTTCCGATCTGCAGTGACAGAACGTGAGTCCGGGGGTCTGGAAATGCCTCCTGAGCTGTCAGAAGAATGATGGTTGCTCTGTATGGCTCATGGAAAGCTGACCCATGTCCAGCTGCACTGGGAGCCAGGGCAGCTCGGCCCTTCTGCTCCTGTTCATGGGCAGATCTGCCATGGGGAGGTTGGGAACAGGGAACACCTGGAAGGTGCATCAAACTGTCCTCTGGTTGCTCCACCACTTGGGTTTGGAGAGGAACAGAGGAAGAGGAGGAAGCAGGGAAGAGACCTGACTTTCCCTGAGGTTTAGTGTTGCCTCCTCTGATCTCCTGGAAATGCCCCAATTTGGCACTGGGAGATGGCATTAAAGAGGAGCAGTTTGGGTCTCCACCACTTAATCTCCACAAGTCTGGAGAAACCGCTTCTCCCAAGGGCCTGGCTGATAACTAGAAAGACTGGAAGGTGTTTGGGAAAAGACCTGAAGTCTGGGGGGCTATGAGGGGCCCTAACTGCACCCACAGCATCACCCCAGCTGGAGGAAGATGGAAAACCCTTGGTGGAAAAACCCTTGGTGGAAAACCCTTCCCAGCTCCCTGCCTGAAGGGCAGGTGTTAACACCACTGTCACAAGTGGCTTTTGCTCTGCCTTGCAGCTTTTTCTCCTAAAATTTCTTAAGTGCTTTCCCTAGTTGCTGTTTTCATTGCTAATATCCCTGGATGAAAAAACGGAGGAGCAGTAACACAAACTTTTCTGTTTGCTCCCAAAATGTCTTAATGGGTTTTTTTTTTTCTTCATTCCAAAGGTGTCCAGCACCAGATGAGGGGCTGGGACTGGAGTGGGAGCACAGCTTAACCCCAAGGCCATCCTAGACAGCACTGCTAGAACGTGGACCTGGCCAAGTGACGGTAAGGAAACAGCCTCCTAATTTCTCCTGAATTGGTAAATCAGATAACATAATAGAGAACATTTTACATGTTGTGGTCATGTATGTGGAGTTTTGAGGTTCTGTTTGCTGTCAGCCACGCTGGACACTTCTGGCCTGCATCCAGAAAGGCTGAGCCATCCTTTCCCAATTTATTGTTGGGTTGTATGTTCTTATGACATGATGCTACTTATAGGGTGAGCCCAAATGATACCATGCCTTCTGAAATAATTCCTCTGTAGGAACCCAAATGTTCAGCCTGTGAAAGCCGACACTCGAATCCCACATTTGGGAAGCAGGGAATAACTCGGGCAGAATGGAGATCTTGGCCATTGAGGTTGGATGTGTGGCACTGTGTTTCCATGTTTTCCTGGATGCTCCAGGAAAGCTCAATGTCCCCTGTGTGTCTTTGGTAGTTGGTAGGATGCTGTTGCAGCCCAAAATCCAACATAATTTTTATTTATGCTGTATCTTTGCCAATCCAGCATCTCATGCTCCCATAGCCTGGTTTCCAAATTCGGGATTTTATGGCAGTTCTCTCCTACAGCAGAAAAATACTGGAGGGGGAAAGTCATTCTAGAAGCTCAACAACACTGAGCAGCCTTTTAGTAGAGGGTGCTCCTCAGCAGCCCTCCAATGGCCTCAAGTTGCACTAGGAGAGGTGCCCAGGGCAGTGGTGGAGTCCCCATCCCTGGAGGGATTTAAAAGCCATGTGGATGTGGTGCTGAGGGACGTGGTTTAGTGGTGGCCTTGGCAGTGCTGGGGGATGGTTGGACTTGATGAGCTTAAAGGACTTTTCCAATTTAAACAATTCCATGATTCTAATAACAAATGGAAAGATATGCCTGTTAACAGGACCCGCTTGAGCTGTACAGAGGTTTTCACCAACCCTCTCGGATCCGAGCAGGTCTTGTGGGCAACCCTAAAAAAACTCCAAACCAGTATGAGTATGGGAATAGGAAAAAAAGCCATAAAAAAGAAATATTTCATTTTCCAGCTTCTCGGGAGTTGAAAATACTGTGGAAAAAGATGTTGTTAGTTAATAGTGATGAATGATCCTCTGGCAGCACCATTAATCAAAGCTAATCATCGAAATGTTTTTGGGAGCGGAAATTTGTATGCACTAGTTTTGATTCCTCTATAGAATAAATGGCTTTATCGAGTTCCTCTCTAGAGTTTGACAGACATCCAGTGTTTCCTGCCATCCCGCTGTTTTCTTGACCGTCTGATGACTCAGGAAAATCGAGAGGGCCCAGCAGAGCTTTTGCTGGCATTGAGAGCTCCGGTTAATCCTTCTAAAAGCAGCTACAGGAGGCAGAAACACATCCCTGTTTACTCTTAGGGTGATTTCACCTGCGATTTTTAGCTCTAATTTTTGTTTATTTTTCTTTTGTTGAGGGTGGGTGTTGCCAGTCCAGGTGTCTCTTTGGTGTAGGTAGATGTATGATTCCAGGAGGCTGATTTAATTGCATTTCCAAGTGATTGCTCCATGAAAATCCTCTTTACAGAGGCTCCACAGTAATTCTGCATCCACCCCTCTCCTAAATGTCCTGTTTGGATGTGTAAAGGCCAGGAAAATTACTCTCCTGCTTTTACCCACTTTGGAAAATTCAGACGTGACAGAAAAGATCAGCTCAAGCACTTCATCCACCTTTATTCCTATTAAAGCCGGTGAAACTCCCCATCCAGGAGACTGAAGAAGGATTCAAGGTCAACAGCAGCAGATGACTCACTGGTAAATATGAGTCCCACAGGTTTCAGGGACACCTTTGCATGCAGAGAACTCCCACCAAGCCCAGCATGAGGATCCTTCCATGCAAATTGGAGGCTTCCAGGACACAGGATTTATGCAAAAGCCGAACAGTTGTGAGTAATCTTTGCACAGATTTTCTTGCAACTGCAGAACGAACATGAAATTCATTAGTGAGAACTGAACCCTGGATCATCTGTTTCAGAAATGCAGGCTCTTGCCAAGCTTGATAGGAAGGAAAACCGGAGGAGTAGGATAAAAATTTATATCCCATTTTACACTGCGGAGTTGCAAGGGGTTGCCGAGGACGTGCGCGCCAGAGCCGCCGGGAGTGGCAATTAGGGGAGCTAATTGCAGTAGTGGGAGGTGAAGGGGGAGGGTCAGCCAGCAGTGATGGTGATACCAACCACAGTCCACAGCAATGTTTTTATGATGGTGTTGGGACTACAGTGCAGAGGAATGAGAAATCAGAGAAGGCAGATGCATAAAGTACCTTGGAAATCCCCGGCCGTTGGACATTCCCTTCCCAACCAGCCCCTACATCCTTCTGAAAGAGCCATTATGTGTCAGAAAAGGCTCGGATTTGGTTTTTTGCTTTGTCCCAGTGCTTCAGATAGCTTTTTGCTGTGTTTATTTTCCCTCCCTAAGAGCTGATAGCTAAATATATCCCCAATCTCAGCACTTTGGCTGGTGCTGTTTATTTAATGACCTTCCCTCAGTTCAGTGTGATTAAGCTCGTCTGCGTCTGGGTGTTTTGCTTAGCATTAAGTTCCCTTTATTTTGGGAAGTTCATTTCCACACCATGATTTTTCCCAGTTGCCTCCCTGTAAGTGAGAGGAGGGTGGGTTTTGATCCAGGTCTCCCCTCCCCCCTGCTCCTGTATTGCAATTTTTCCTTCCTGGCTTTCTAGTTCCGCCTCTCAGAGCATGAAAATCCACCCTGGAACAAGACACTTTCTCCAGTAAAGGCAAAAAAACTTTCTTCTGCTGTGGGAAAGATGCTGCAGAGCCACATCCCTTCATCACCTGCTTGGGACATCCCCAAAATCCAGTCCTTTACAGAACATCCTTGCTGCCACCATCAAGGGGGGGGGGTGGTGGTGGGTCTCGTTGCACCAACACAGGGCCTCCATCCATCTGTCCTAGCAAACAACAGCTCCAAGTGTGTGGTGACATCTGGGATCTGTGGGTGTTTTTTTCTGGCGTGGTGTCCAGTTGAGGCCACGGGGAGGGAGACTCAGCCCTGCAACAGCAACTGAAACACTCCACCTTGAGGTGAAAGACAATTATAATGTGGCCAGCTGGGATCTGCACATCAGCAGCTGATCCAGAAAAACCCAGAGTGTATTTTAGCCCTGCTGGGAGTGGATGCTCCTACTCCAGACTGCATCTCTTCATGATCCATCGTAATCCCTGCTGTTTCTATCATGGGGAGACTGCTGAGCTTTTTGGAGTCAGTACAGAGGATTTGATTTAAGGAACCTCTGCTCCCCAGGCACAGATTTCATTTGAATTTGGTGGGTGAAGTTTTTGTGCTCCTGGGCAAGCTACTTCTTTCCTGGCCACTGCAGATCTTCCTTGTCAAATTTGATTCACTTTGAGCATCTATCTTAAATATTCCACCAAATTCCTGATGTTCACCATTCAACCTGCTTGTGGTTTACGGAACCAGCATTTTTCAGTTATGAGCAATTTACTGAAATGAAGTCACCCAGATTATCTGGAACTACAATTCCAAGAGCTCAGGACCTTGGGGGAGGTTGGGGGTGTTGTTTGAGGCAAATCTGTGTATTTTGGAAAAACAGCTGCTTGCTTACTCCAAAATGCTGCATTGATCAGATCCACTAGAAAACTCCACTATTCACAGAATCATGGAATGGTTTGAGTTGGAAGGGGCCTTAAAAATGGTCTATTTCCAACTCCCTGCCATGGGCAGGGCCACCTTCCACTAGACCACATTGTTGCTACAATCAAAAAAGCCCTCCACTGTCTCTGGAGATATTTTGCACGTAAATATTGCTCCAAGGGAAATTAGTGCTGAATATATGTGGAAAATAACCAAAAAATAGAGTCATATATCTTGCAAGGCTTACAGGAAATTAGCACAAGTGAATTACCCTAAACAAAATTACTCTGCACAGAGCACATGTGTTCCAAGGGAGAGTTTTAGAATCGTTTGAGAAGCTTTAAGCCTTCTTTTTTTTCTTTGCAAAGCTAATGGATCTCATAATTTTGCACAGCCCTATTGGAAATAGGAAAGAACCTGCCTCGTCCAATTAAGAATTAGAAGTAGAGCAGCAACAGGGAGAAAGATTTCTATTTATAAAAAAAAAAAGAAAGAAAGGTGAATTTTTTCTTGAGCTCCACAAAATCCTGCTGAATTGGGAATTCTCTCCAACTCTGTGATATTTGCTGGTACCAGAAAAATGCTGGGAGCCTGTTGCCAATACTTGAATTAAAAAAGAGGATGGAGGGAGGGCAGCAGGGGCAGCTCTTTGAGAAACCAAGGACACATCCTCCAAAATACAAGTAAAATCACAGCATCTCATTTAGGATATTTAAGTATTTACTGCTGCCTCAGGAAGCAGGAAATTCCTGCCGCTATGGGGGAAGCACAAAGTTCAACGGGACAAACAGGGAGGATAAAAGATGTTTGGAAAGTGCACTTGATCCTGATGGGATTCAGCAGCCTCTGGATGATTATTTATCATCACAAGGGCATGGTTATGGAGCAGAGATCTGATGGCTCGAGGCAAACTGGTCCAGCTGGTGGGTTTGGAGGTGCCAATGGCACTTCTGCTGTCAGAGTAAGATCCCTGTGCTCCAAGCCCCAGTTCTGTCTGTGCTTTTCCCAAACAACACTTTGGGTTATCGTGATAATCAAGGAACTGGCTCCAGATAGGCTCTGACTTCTGAGTTTATTAGCTGTGTTTTAAAGCTGGGCTCCAGTTCCTTCTGCTGGAGCGCGCGTACTGCCTTATTCCCCCTGCCATCTCCTGCCGGCTGGAATGAGCTGTTGGAGGGGAGGGAAGGAAAGGTCAAACTCCTCCAGCATCAGGTGCGAGCAGGGACATGTGGAAAACAGATCCCTGTTCTCGCAGCGACCTTGGCAGATGGCGACCAGCCCTGGAATAGCAGTGGGGGGATGCAGAGAGGGTGGGTGGATGTGGCATTACCAGATTGGGGTGACTGGGTTGTTTGGAACTGCCTTGCCCATGCCCAGCTCTTCCAGCAGCTCAAATCTTGCTCTGGGGAAAGGAAGCCTTTTGGTGCTGAGGTAATTTGTTTTAAACTTTTCACTTAAGGGCCTGGAGTGACAGGACAAGGGGGAATGGCTTCACAGCGGTAATTGGATATTGGGAAGAAATTCTCCCTTGTGAGAGTGGTGAGGCCCTGGCACAGGTTGTCCAGAGAAGCTGTGGCTGCCCCATCCTTGGAAGTGTTCAAGGCCAGGTTGGATGTGGGTTGGAGCAACCTGGTCTAGTGAAAGATATCTCTGCGTATGGCCTTATCCATGAATTCTGGGAGTCAGCACAGTGACAGCAGCATTGTGTTGGAGACTGTTTTGGCTGTTGGCACATGCTGGCTGGATAAAGTGGTGCTCATGAGCTGCTGTTATAGTCACCTCAAATCCCATTTGTGGCTGTTCTTTGCAGAATCCCTGCTGCTTTCTGGGGTCCCTGGCCTAACTCTCATCTACCTGGGAGCTCCCATCCTCCCATCCCAGACCTGGTGACAGCCAGTGTTGATACTGGGAGCTGCTCCCTTCAAACCCAGCCTGGCTGGGGAGAGGGGAGTGCTTTGGTCTCCTGTACCTGCTGTCAGGTGAGACCTGTCAGCTCCACTGATGACAGCTGAGGGAGCAGCTACTCCCAGCTGAGGGGTTATTTTTCCTCCCTGTGCAGTTCACTGCAAGGTCAATGC